TCTTGTCTTGAGAACACGCTCTCATCTTTACATTCAGCGGCATTTTGTTTATTTTCTGTGTGTGAGTTTTTAGGAAGTTCTCACTTTGCGAAGCCGATGAAGTCTTCGTGGTTGGTGTTCATGTAGGCCAGCTCGATGTCGATCAGCAGGACCACCTGACAGGACACGACCAGTGACGTAAAACACGCAGTCACACAAATCAACACTTTGATCACGTGACAATCAGGTGACTCACCTGGTCTTTGGTGCGACTCTCTCGGTCTCTGATGTGCTGAGTCACGATCCTCTCCATCTCCTCTCTGAGCATCGGGTACTGAGCCAGCTGCAAACGCCGACCGCCGCCGAGAGCAGGAGGGAAGAGAACAGCAGCTAAGAGATGCTACGAGCAGCTAAGAGATGCTACGAGCAGCTAAGAGATGCTACGAGCAGCGCAGGGCGGCCATCGACTGAGACCGCTGCTGGAGTAAAAGTACTGGATAGTAGTACTGGGTAGTAGCACTGAGTAGTAGTACTGAGTAGTAGTACTGNCACACAACCTGCACACACACAGACACACAACCTGCACACACACAGACTGACCTTCTCTTTGTCCTCCAGCAGACGAAGTAAAACAGAGAGAATACTTTTAACAACCACAGTAATGTAAGAATACTGCAGTAATTACAGTAAGTACCAAGCTAAGTACTGCCAACGACAAAGTGCTGCAGTAATAGCGTACTAATAATGATGTATTACTGCAGTAATTAAATACCAGCTATAATGTAGCACTGTAGCAACAGAAAGTACTGAGAGTGATGCAGGACGTCAACAAAAAAAGTTCTGCAAAAGTACTGAGAACGATGTAGTTATGCAGCAACCGCAAGATACAATCATGTAGTGATGACCTAAAAGTGCAGCAACAATATAGTAATAATAGTGTAACAACACAGTAATAATATAATAATAATGCAGTAATAGTACTGTAACAATGCAGTACCACGCTGCGTTCAGGGTACACTCCGGCTCGTAGGAAAGAAGCCTTCCAGCTGTCCACCTCCTCCTGAGACTCACTGGCCAACTCCAGCTGACGGTAGTCTTTGTACACATTCCTACAACATATATGTTTGTGTCATCACACAGCAGACAGACGTGTAGCTGCGACACAACGTTGACACACACATATTGTGTTGCACATATTGATTACTGATCACACACTGACCGGTGCTCGGTGTTGAACAGGGCAAAGATGTGTTTGCTGGACATGAAGCTCTTCTCGATGTCCTTCAGCTTCAGGTTGTCCACTGGCAGCATGTACTTCTTCTCCTTCTCCTGCGGAGGGCAACACAACAAGGTTTTCCACCTGATTGTGTGTGTGTGTGTGTGTGTGTGTGTGTGTGTCTGCTGTGCGTCTGTTGTGCGTCACCTCATCATCTTTGTACCATGACAGCGTCTCTGCCGTCAGGACGAACCAGTACTCCTTGGCTCCGCCCTTCATGATGCCGATGTTGTTGATGGTGAGCCAGCCTTTACGGATCACCTGCACACGTCATCAGAGAAACATGTGGTTGGTGTGATGTCATCAGTCATATCCAATGGCATCAGGAGAACATGACTGGTGACCAATGAAAAACCACGTCACTGATTTCTGATCCATCAATCCCTGTATCAGCAGGTATTGACAAAGCTTCAGGTGTATTCAAATCAAACTTACATCATGACTTTCTGTGACAACCTGTGTCATGACGTCACCCTGACTCACTAAACTCTAACCAAACCCGAATGTAAATCTAATGTAAACCTAACCTGAAGTAAACCCAGTATGAATACAAACTCAGATATTTTATGACATTTGCTTAATTTAAAACTAATCTAAACCTAACGTAAACTTAACCTAAACCTAACATAAATCTAACAAAACCCAACCTCAGTCCAACTTAAATCTAACCTGGGCCAAATACAAACCTGTGAACCTCACATAAACCCAAGCTGAGCCTCGGCTCAAGCTAATCCAACCCTGACACAACCCTAAACCTCAGCCACATCAGTCGACCTTATAAGGACTTCCTGTCCCCAGATGGTGGGACGGTGCTCACAGCGTCCCCGTGAACACACACACGTGTGTGGAGACACACTGTCAGCAACACAAGCACGCTCACACTCACCATGATCTCGTCCTGGTTGCCACGGCAACAGAGGCAGAGAGCGGGATGGAGAGAAGGAGTGAGGAGAGAAGAGAGCAACACATGAATGAGTCTGTCCTTCATCCATTCATCCATCTTTAGCCCCGCCCCCCGGTTACCTGCAGAGACTCACCTGGTTTCCTGCTGCCTTCTTCTTGCTCATCTGACTGCTCTTCTGCTGAGCGCTGACACAACACAGACACACACACAGACACACACACAGACACACAACACAGACACAACACNGACACACAACACACAGACACACACACAGACACATGACACACAGACACACAACACAGACACACACACACAGACACACAACACACAACACACAGACACACAACACAGTTGAGGTCAGTATTTATACAGCGTAATTCCGCCACGCCTGTCAGGACTACATCTTGTCTTTACAGGTGTTCTGGTGGACTACGTCTTGTCTTTACAGGT